GCGATGAGGCATACCTGGGAGGTCGACACATGCTTCTGATGTCGACCCCCGCGCGTCCAGACTACCGCGCTGAGCCGACAAACAGCTGATCGGCTCAGCCCGGCAGCCATGTAAATTTAAATGAAGAGGCGATTATTTAAATCGCCGCTTCATTTTCCTATGCCTGGTAGTCTAATCTACATGCCTCTGTCGCCAGAGGCATGTAGTCTAGACGTACCCTAATAGATTAGTAAGACATGATTTCCCTTTACAGAAAACATGTTGACTTTTGTCCAACAAATTATGTTCTTCTATGTGCCTCACAATTTTATTCTTTACTATTGTTTTGACATGCTCTAGTTAAGGATTAATAAATCGGTTATCTACGTGCTGCATATATTAGAGGGCCTCAATGAAATAAAACCAGGGAACTCTTTCACAGAGTCAACACTTCTGCATACTTACTGTGTTGAGTGCGTTGAGTGTAGTGTCATCCCGAGAAGCTGCAATGCAGCCATCTTCTGTGGATCCTCCATCACACATCCCTGCAAAAGCTGCCATGCTCCTTTGTAGTTAAAAAAAAATAACACAATTGACCCTCTAATTGCTCACATTACGCAATATACAGATGCTACTTACACTGTACATCATCATTTTCAGGGCTCTGACTGTGCAAGTTAGAAGAGAGTAAGGAAATCTGTCTCACTCAACCAAGATTAATCAACTGTTTTGCTCACCTGCATGTCTTCAGTATTGGGCTATTTTTAGTACTAATTGCCAAGGTATTATTCAAAGACTCACTCCAAGATTATATTAGCATAATTTAATTCTTCATTACTGTAGCACCCAGAGGCCCCATCAACATTATGCTAGGAATACAACTCATTTGAGGACACAGTCCTGCCCCAGACAGCTTACTTGTCATCATAATTTTAGTTTAAGTCAGCAAGCTGTCTTGGAACTAACTGTAGGGTGCCAGGTCATTAGTTTATTACAAATTAAAAATGATTATTTATCCACACATCCGAGTTAATGCCTGACCCACTATTTCAGAAGCCTGATCTTTATGTATAAAGATCTTAATTGTTTGATCTGACTCCCTAGGCATAGCTCTCTCTTAGGGTGAACCTCAGCTATACAACCTAGTGCTGTCAAAAACATATTTACTATAGGAGGAAGTACAGCAAGAAGTCCTATGGCACCTTAAAGACTGACAAATTTATTTGGGCATAAGCTTTCATGGGGTAGAGCCAACTTCACCAGATGCAGCAGGCTCCACCCCACAATGGCTTATGCCTAAATAAATATGCCACAGGACTCCCCATTGTTTTCGCTAAAACAGACTCAGAGGGCTACCCCCTCTGAAACTTACTACAGCAGCGATTCCCAACCTTTTCCAGATGGGGATCCATTTTGACAATTCAGGAAGACTTGGTAACCCAAGGCAATTCAAAAACAGGAGGGGGGGAGGCAGAGCCACCTGGGGAGACACTTTGCAACCCTTTTGAAATGTAATGGCAATCCACATTTGGGTCCCAACCCATAGGTTGGAAAACCCTGTACTACAGGAAAGAATTCTATCCTGGAAAGGTTGTTTTATTCACAGTTTTTACTTCCCTAATTAACCTGTACACTTTAGACATTACGTCACTATTTACGTTACACAGGGCATGCCCGCTACAAGTCGCTCCAGTATACATCCATTCCACACTAAAGTCATTGACGCTTGTAGGAACTGATGCGTTGTAAGTCCGCCCATTTCCCACTCCGAAGTTGAGCAAAAAAAAACCCCAATTTGCGCAAATGGAAGTCAGCTGTAGAGAAAAAAAATCCCCCTTTAAGTTATTTCGCTGTAAGTCCAAGTTTTTTGGAACGTATCTCGGACTTACAAGGAGAACGGTCTGTACATATAAGTACTTTGTTTTCAGTCCAAAAGATATAGCCTAGTCTCACATTCCTTTGTGACCCAAAATAGCTTTGGAGCTGCCCTGACACCATCATGTCTTGCAATTGACTCCCAACCTAAAAAAATCAACTTCTTAACATTCTAATGTAATATTGCTTCTACACTGGATGAGACTGTGACAGGTGACCTTAGCCCAACATTCACATGCCATCACATTCAGCTTGAGTGTTCCGGGGACACTGGAGCATCTTGGCTATGTTTACCTGGCTGCCCTGAGGTACATGAGCAGGTCACAGTCGTTGACCCCTGGCATCCACACAAGCTCTTCATGTTGTGTCACTGTGTCACCATCCAGAGAAGGAAATGGCTGCAAATCAGGAAGCTTGGCCTACAAATATTGAAACAGAGTTAAAACAAAGAGTGTTGATAACAATAATCATATTAATGGATTGTGCAGAGAAGCTCTTTGTCAGGGAAGTGTTATCCCCATTGCACTGATGGAGAAACTGAGGCAACGACAGGTCAAGTGACTCGCCCAAGGTTTTTGTGGTAGTACTATTATTAAACACACATCTACTCTGTCCTAGTCCTGTGCCTCAATGAAGGATCATGTTTCCCCCCCATTTCAAAAAATAGTGATCTCAGCTGGCAATCATTTCTGGATAGTACCATCTCCTATTGCACTCAGAGGACAGCCATTAGGGTACATATTCCAGGATAAACATCTCAGTGAAAACACCACAGCCTAGAATTGGATTAAACTATCTCATACTGGGAGCATCATTCTCCATCTTACAAAAAATGAAAACACCTTCACAAACATAGAAGGATAGTTTAATGTCTGTTAAAGCAGAAAACAAGCTGCTTCCACTTGTCAAAAGGAAACCATTCTAATCACTGTTTGGCAGAATAAACAGGTTGCACATAATATATGAATATGAAAGGAAGCAAACATATGATTACCCAGGGAGGTATCTATTTCATTTTAACTCCTCAGTAAAAACCCATGTGTATGATATTTACAAATTGGGCCTTAGCAAATAATTAAAAACCCAAAATGACCCAAGGAAATTTGCAGAAAGCTAGATAGCTCAGTGAAATGAACTCTGCCATCAAGTAAGTATTATACTGTATCAAGAGACCCAATTAGCATCTTTAGTCATCTGCAGCAATAGCCTAAGATATCAGAGAGCATTTTTGGAAACAGCTTTTAAGTCTTATAATTACCTTTTACAGTTAAAATTCTAAACATTTTTGAAAGGCAATATTTATATATAACCATTAATTAGAAGTCATCTGTTCAGATGTCTTTCATTTTCTGCCTTTCAAGCTGTACTTTTTTTACTCTTTTGCTAGGAAAATAGATTTATCACTGACATTTTTTGCTGCTGAAGGGCTAAGCAGACTTTATAGCCTCTATATCCATTGGAGTTTTGTATTAGGTATACACACAATGTGCACCTGCTTCCAGCAGTCAATGTACTTAAACTAGCATTCTTTCGTATTCCAGGACCAACAAGCTTCATTACCATGTTTCCAAAAAAAGGAATCTTTTTAATGAGTCACAAGGCTGATAGCAAACCAGACAACACAGCAGTAGTAGTCAGCACAGTGAGGATTTGTAAATGTTTATTGATTGTTTTCCCTCATTTATCACCATAATGGAGTATTTGAATTATTGTGCCTAGGAGTCCTACTCAACTCGAGTTTTACTTTTACAAGGGCTGAGCACCTCCAACATCCAATTACATTAGTGCCAGAGGTGGGTGTTTAGCACCGCTACATCTGGGGCTTAACAGTTTCAAAACTGAGGAAGCCAAAACTGAGCCACCCCAAATTACTCTTTGTGCCCAAGTTTTTCCATCTATAAAATATAGCTAATGAGCACACCTACATACATTTTTCTACTACCCTGTAAAAGTACACTGATAGCTTTAGAAAAGTAACTTTGCAAGTACCAACTACAGTAATGCCAGTATTATTAATTTAAAAAGCAACATGCTTTAGCCACTCTTTTGTTTTGTTTTTAAACCAACTATACACCAGGCTGCTACACAGAATGGACATTCTTCCACTTTCACAAGAAATAACTAAGTCAGGTCAGTTAGTGAGCTCTAATTAGCTTGACATAAAGAAGGTGATGGAGAGACTTGATTACAGTCTATAAGTACCGACAACGGGAACAAATATTTGATATGAAACCTTCAATGTAGCAAAGGCATACCATCCAATGGATGGAAGTTAAAGCTAGCCAAATTCAGACTGGAAAGGAGATTTTTTTTTATAGTAATAAGGGTAATTAACCATTTCCTCAATAAGTTGTTCCAATGAGACGAGGAGTCCTGTGGCACCTTATAGACTAACTGAAGTGTAGGAGCATAAGCTTTCGTGGGCAAAGACCCACTTCGTCAGATGCATGTGTCACATGCATCTGACGAAGTGGGTCTTTGCCCACGAAAGCTTATGCTCCTACACTTCAGTTAGTCTATAAGGTGCCACAGGACTCCTCGTCTCATTGGAACAACTTATTGAGGACTGTGACAGATTCTCCATCACTAGCAATTTTTCAACCAAGATGGGGTGTTCTAAAAAATATGAGAGAGGGATTAGTTTGGGGGAAGTTCTATGGAGATCAGACTGTATTGAACACAGGTGTCCCTTCTAGCACTAAAATCTATGAAAAAGGAGTCTAGGTGGAAACAAACTGAAAATTCTCACAAAGGCCCAATCTTATAAAGGGTGAGTGCTCTTAAAGCCCCATTGGAAGGACTAGTTAGTTCTAGCCCTGTCCATGCTCCTGTACAAGGAGATTATCTACAACAATCAGGAAGTATTTCCCAAAATAATGCTTTTAAGACATGAACTTTTTATCTTGCTCTAAAAGCCATGACCAGCAGTGGGTTGTTTGTCTGAGTGAATCAATCATAATGCTATGATGTTGCAAACCCCTACTTACTCACTTTGTATTATGACAACCAGAAATGACTGAGGCACCACAGTGGTTTTACAGCTTTCCCAGTTCCTTTGATCTCTCTCAGCCAACAGACCATACAATGTACGCAAAGAACAGACTTAGGGCTTCTGTATCAAAGATCTAAGCCTCCTCTGTCTTTACAGGGTCAGAAGGTCAAACATCAAGTGCATCAAAAAGTTCCTACAAAAGGCAAGCAAGATACTACAACTGTAAGTCCAAGTGTGAAGAGGGCATGACCAGCAAGAAGATCTTGATAATCCCTCTGAGCTCTTATACCTCAAAGTTAAACTATGCTTTATATCATTTCAGAATTTAATTTATTTTAAACAATCTTTTGGCACTGGAGAAAAGGTTTTTTTTGACCTACACAGATAAGATTCTTCTGCTACAAGCTTGAAGGGGTTAAACCAATAAATTTACTGAGGCACCAAAGCTAAATCATTGCCTCAGAAAGAGGATTTTATCCTGTACCAACAATAGCCAGTACAAAGCAGAAGTGAAGGAAAATGGTTTAGTTAGAATACAACCAAAAGCATGCTGTTGTCCACTTGTCTTAATGCCTTGCTGCGGTCATAACTTGCCTCCAAGAAGAAAACCACACCAGATTTAGAACTGGCCTGTAAAAACTTTTTAGAACTTTATGTTTACGTCGTTACAGATAAGTTTTCTGTACAAGTAAACTAAACCAGTATCACGGGGTTATGGGGAAAAAACTAGCAGAAAGGAGAAATAATAGCTCAAGACATGACACTTCGCAGTCAACACTGTTAGGATTCATTTTTTAAGAAGGGATAGAGTATAAAACCATGGTACGCCCACATCTTAAATGCTGCGTACAAATGTGGTGGCCTCATCTCAAAAAAGATATTGGCATTGGAAAAGGTTCAGAGAAGGGCAACAAAAATGATTAGGAGTTTGAAACGGGTCCCATATGAAGAGAGATTAAAAGGAGTTGGACTTTTCACCTTCGAAAAGAGGAGACTAAGGGGGGATATGATAGAGGTTTATAAAATCATGACTGGTGTGGAAAAAGTGAATAAAGAAAAGTTATTTACTTGTTCTTATAATATAAGAACTAAGGGTCACCAAATGAAATTAATAGGTAGCAGGTTTAAAACAAACAAAAGGAAGTTTTTCTTCATGCAATGCACAATCAGCCTGTGGAACTCCTTGCCTGAGGATGTTATGAAGACTAGTAGGACTTTAACAGAGTTCAAAAAAGAGCTAGATAAGTTCATGGACAGGGCTTGCCGAACCGCGGCGAGCCACATTCATCAGCCGCACTGTCCTTGAGCTAATTAAATTGCTGCAACACGTCATTCAAGTTGTCAAACAAATAAAACCAATCACATCCTTTACCTGATGGCTGGGTCCAACTCTGATCTCGCCCTGGGTGCTGTTCAGCCTCCTATCATGAAAAACAAACAACATCAGTGAACAGAAGTTACAACTAACAAGTCCTTCTATTATACTGCAGACCAGAAGAGACCATGTGATCCTTTACAGACCAACTCTATAACATACTACTACTTGCTTGAATTTGCTTGAACTAGAGCCTATCTTTTAGAACATCATTGAATCTCTATTTTTAAACTGAGACTGACACAGAATCAATCACAATCATGGGTAAGTTCTCTCAATGGTTCCTTACTACCTTCACTGTTAATCATCTAACCACTAGATCTTCCTATATCTGTGTCTGTTAGACTGAATAAGCCCATTATCCAATTTTTGTTGCTCAGGGATTTATGTATATATTGTATCAACACAAAAAAAGCTTTTGATATTATCTTTGCAATGCACACCGGAGAGCAGCAATAACAAGGAAACATTAAAGCAGAAATAGTGAATACATTCAACATAGCAGGAAACTTTCTGAATGGCAGAGGCCAACAAAGACAGATCTGGAATTTCTGGCAAAATGGCCATAATCTTATTAGTTCTGTAACATGGTAACATCTTGGGGCCACCTGTCCTGAACACTGAAAAGGGGGAAGGTAAATTGATGCTGTCACCTGGCTTCCCCCTTTTTAACACGCAAATCCAAAACATCAAGGCCCTGAGTAGGAATGTTAAGGACTAGTCGACTATCCGATAAGCAAATGCTTATTGGATAGTCAAAAGGATAGTCGACTAGTCGCTCCTCCCCCCCCCCCCCTTGCTGCCTCTATCAGATAAAGGCAGCAAGGAGGGGAGAAAAGGGGGGTAACTTCAAAGCAGAAGCACTGCAGGGAGCCCAGGCTCCATGCGGCGCTGCCCCTTTGAAACACCATGGCTGCATTTCAAAGGGGCAGCGCCACCCTATCGACTGAATAGTTGATGCAAAAATGTATCAACTATTCGATTAGTGAAATAATTAACATCCTTAGCCCCAAGGGTTACCGACTGCTTACAAGGAGGCTTTATGAGAACCTGCATTTCTCTTATCATAGCCTGTAACTCAAGATGACCCACTTCCCTGAAACACTCCTGGTCTGAGAATATGGCTCAGGCTCAGCCCACAAATCTGACCCCCTTTCCTGAGAAAGGTGCATTGATACCTATATCTTAAGAAAAGTGGAAACTTGCCCAATGCCGCCTGACTTCTATGGTTTTGCAACACTAACAGACAAATCAATATCTATCCAGATGGAATTCAGGGGAGGGGAGGAATGGAATCTTTGGGTCAGGAACTATTTTTTTCTGTCCTGTGTTTGTACAACTTCAAGCACCATGCAGTCCTGGTACATATCCTAGCACTTAAAAGCCCTGGTTACCACCAATAATAATTTCCAATGGAGGGCACAGAAGGAAGGAGACTTCTTGTGGCTTGCATGATAGAATCAACTTCTCTGTGCCCTCACCCAGCAGTTCCCAACTGCCAGGCTACCAACTGGTGCCACACAAACTGTTGGCTGGGGGGGGCCAGGGCTGGGGTACACCACTCAATACCTCCCCTCCTGCTGTGACTGTTGGGAGAGGCGTCTCCTGCCCTGCTCCGCAGCCAACCAGCGCCAGGAAGGGGCGGGTATCTTCTCAGATGCAAAAGAATGGTGGGAGGGCTGCATGGAGCCCAGCATGGCAGCCGCAATCTGGGCAGCAGCACTCAGCTAGCAGCTGGGAGGCAGCACAGGGCTAGGTGAGGGGGTCAGGGCAGATACTGGGGGTGGGGCTAGTGCTGGAGGGCTCTAAGAGGTGGAAGCTGGCCCTGGGGGCAAAGCTAGTATTGGGGAGCTCTAAAGGGTGGGGGGCTCTAGGATGCGAGGGGCTGACTCAGGGGGCACTGAGGCATCGAGAATGGGGAGCTGGCACTGGGGGCTAGTAGTGGGGAGCCTACAGGAGCAGGGCTGGCACTGGGGGGTTCTGGGGATGGGGCTAATATTGGAGACTGGAGGCTGGCATGGGAGGATCTCAGGGGGGTTGGGTGTAGTGGGGCTCTAGAAACAGGAGGCTGGCACTGGAGGGCCTGGCAGTGGGGTCTCTAAAGGTTAGGGCTGGCACAGGGGGGCTCAGAGTGGGAGTCTAGCGCTGGGTTGGGTGCAGGGGACTCTGGGGTCAGTGGCAGGTGCTGGGGTGTGTGAAGGGCTCTAGGAGTTAGGGCACTGGGGGGTTCTGGGCTTTTGGTGGACCAGCGGCATTTATTTGCATATTCACATACTCATTTGTATAATGAATATGCAAATAACATTATGCTGGTCCATCAGATCTTTCTGAATGGGTTTGCTGGTCTGCAGTACATAAGAGGTTGGGAACCACTGCCCTAGCCCGTCAACCAAAAAGCCTGATGCAGGGAAAAGGACAATCCAATGAGATCTATCCTACAGGTATTGCCCCATTGGCTGATTGCTGCAACAGGGAACCGTGGGGCTCTTGCTACATTTCAAAGGCTGAAGCACTGTAGTGGGAACCAGTGTTTCCTTGCTGTGTGTCTGCCTCCCTGTGCCCCATGGAGATGTTGCTCGGGGGGGGGGACCAACTTTTAAGCCCATCACCTGCATCAGCTGCCCGCTGCCTCGCTGCCTCTCTCTGACAGGCTACGTCTAGACTACTAGGCTACGAGGGATGTAAATAAAGCGGGGATTTAAATATCCCATGCTTCATTTGCATAATCACGTCATGGTGCTCTTTCGAACAAACGCCATTTTGAAAGTAGAACCACAGCTAGACCGCCCCCCACCTCACCTCTCCCCTCCTTTCCCAGGTTCTCCAGGCCCAAGAAAAAGCATACCCAACATGTGATGGTCCTGACACTATCATGTCTTAAGAAAACATCTGAGGCTATTTTCGTCACCTAAAAATAGTATCTGAAATGAAAACTTCATGGTACATTTTTCTTGAAGCGTATCATGTACTAGAATAAAATGAGTCCATGAAGTTGTTATACAGTTCATACAGCGGGATCCCAGAATAGTAAAAGGTGTTGCAATAACAAGCAGAAAGAAGAATAGGGGCTATTTTTACAGACCGTAGATCCTATAAGTCAGTCCTAGGTAGAACACAATTATCCATCGCAAGAGATGACCTTGTTTTTGCAAATACAGACATGAAATCAGGACATCTTCCTTATTAGTTATCCAAGAAACACCTCCACACAAAGGATGCCACCAAATAACCCACCAAAATTGTAAATTGTCACGATCTTCCACCCAAATACAGTCTATGTTTGGCCCTGGTTAGTTTAAAAAAATTAGTGATTTGCTAAAATCAGATGAGAACACCTCTCATATTGCAATGGCTGCAAAACACAAAGTCAGCTTTACCAATAGTACCCGGCCTCAGACAAAATGAAGTTAGTTTTAAATCACGGAATCAAAGAAGATTGGAGTTGCAAGAGACCTCAGGAGAGTCCAACCACCTGCTAGAAGAAGGACCAACTCCTACTAAATCATCCCAGCTGGTGCATTATCAAGCAGGGTCTTAAAAAGCCTTTCAGGGTGGAGATTCTGCCACCATTCCTGTGCTTCATCGCCCTCCTAAGTGAAATAGTTCTTCCTATTATCCCAACTTGAGACCACTGTTCCTGGTTCTGCCATCTGTCACCACTGAGAGCAATTTAGTTCCATTCTCTTTGGAAATGCCCTTCTGGTAGGGGAAGGCTGTTATCAAATCCACCCTCACTCTTCTTTTCTGCAGACTAAAGAAGCCCAAATACCTCAACTTCTTATAAATCGTGTACCCTTAATTTGTATTGCCCTCCACTGGATTCTCTCCAATTTGACCACATCCTCTCTCTACCATGGGGGCCCAAAACTTGGATGTAGTACTCCAGATGTGGCCTCATCTATGCCAAATAGAGGGGAATAACCACTTCCCTCCATTCCCTGGCAATGCTCCTGCAAATGCAACCCAATATGCACGTCCACTGGCTGGGGCTGGTCCAGGTTTGTCTGCCTACTGCATTCCCCAGCCAGAGTGAGGAATGTAGCAAACTCTGCACTTTCCTTTTGCTCCTTGATGAAGGGAAACAGCCAGCAGTGTGGGGTAGCGGGCGGGGCTTTAAGAGTGGGTGCACTACGTGTAACTGTGAACATAAACCGATAAGCCCAAGCTCATGAGTTAACCATTTACACAGTTATTCTTTCACATCCCTAATGCTAATCAGGTAACTGTTTATACCTCTAATATATATGGCATGTTTTTCAGAGGAGCTGAACACCCATGACTACCACTGACTGTCTGATTTGTCAGAAAGACTGAGCATCTGAGATTCCAAACTCAATGAATGCTCTTTGCTTACACGTGTGCGTGTGGTCTCATAATGCAGCTACAGCTAGAGAGACTGCACTACTCTTTCAAGACTATCAAAATGTATTAAGGAGTGCAACAAACTCTAAAGAGGTTACATATTGTAAGGAGAGACTGTTTTGCATGACCTCTTAAAAACATTATTTTTTATTTATAGTTATATAAATAAATAAATATAAATGTAATTGCATATACACATACAACATATTCTTATCATTCAAATTACAGCATATGGACAAATTATATAAAAAAGGACAATTACTGCAGTCAGCTCAGTCCATAGAGTCATGTAAATGTACTAACAAATTTTGAGCACAAAAATCTCTGTAACAGCAAGACATTAATATGCTAAACCATGAGCAAACCAGAGAAAATGTAAGAGAACTCTGTGTATATAAATGAAGACTATAATTTGATTCATATGGGGAAAATAAATACTTAAACCATATGTCTAGTCACTAAAGAATGGCAGAAGTGCATGAAGTTAGTTACTGACCCATATGATCTCCAGGGGCCACTGGAGACACAACAATGTGAATTAAGGATGAAGAAATGAGTTCTCTCTGAATTCTAAACACAAAAATCAAGACAGTAACTGCTAACCTGTACTACAACGCGCTCTCAGGACAAGAGGCAGGGTGGCTGGAGAGCCCCACTGTCGGGGACCAGGAGCCCTTTCCCACA